TGATTTTTGGGTCCAATGGGTCTAGCCCATTTTGCCCATAACTTCTCCCTCTAAAACACTTGGGTACCCCTTGGGGCACACCCCAAGTATCTCACCCTAAGCCTTATAAACCCTTTCAAAACTTCCCACCAAATCAATGTGGGACAAGCCAATTTACAACTTTAAGGAATTTTCACCATAACTCCATTTCCATGGAGCATACTTTGGCTTCAATTTCCCATTCACTCGGCAATGGTTTTTAGCAACCAAATATACCACGTGAATCACAACGCGGCATAGAATGCGTTACCACTTTGACCCGAGTAAATCGATGCTCGGGGCCCACCTAAAAAATAGACCAAACTTGAGAAAAAATTCTGGTTTTACCCAGAATTTTTCCACCATTTCCAACAGATCATTGTATTCTGGGAGATAGACGCCATTAATCCGTAAGCACCGAAGCGAGACGAATATGTCTTAAGGACAGAGTGTCACACACTCGACTTGATATCTTTTTGTACTTATTCATTTTGGTAAAATAAATTATGTAAGTAATTTATTTTTATTTGTTTAATTTATTTCAAATTATTTATTTTACACAAAAAAATTATTCCACAAGAAACATCAAACAAACAACCCAACAAAAAAGACCCAAAAAAAATGAAAACAAACACCACATTCACCTTGTCACAAATTGAACAGAACAGCACAATGCAAACTCATTATCCACACCAACAAAAAAAGAAAAAAAGAAAAGGCAAAAACGAAACACTATTTCTCGAAGAAATGACGTTTCCCACGTTATACAAAAATCACATCATCAATTGAAACCCTTTCACCGTGAATCACTATGCACAAATCACCACACAAAAAATAAAATAAAAAAATGAATGAAATTGTTACATATTTTACCCTCCCACACGCCACACATCAACGTAAATAAAATGAATCACACAAAAAAGGTAATGAAATAAACTCCAACATTACCAAATAAAATAAAATATACCTTATCAACTAAAAATGATCAAATTGTTCATACGAGTTCACAAGAAAAAAACGCAGAACTAAATGAATTAACATTATTTCATATCAAATTTATTGATAATTTGTCCTTAAATCTTTTAAATTATTTTTATCAACCATCTAATCATTAAATATAATATTATCTCCTTTGCTAATATAATTAGTTTTGTATGTAAATTATATATATTCTTCAAAAGTATAGTTATTCGGTTCAAAATTTCTTATTGTCTAAATACAAAAATCCAATCAAACGAAATTCATAGGATAAAAAAAACCTTTTCGAATCATTCTTTGCGTACAAAAATTGAATTAACGTTTACTCATTTGATATTATTTCTTATCGCAATTAAAAACAATACGATTGATAGTTTAATGCATATAATCTCAAATCTATATATATATATATATATTATTTCATGATACTATCCATCCAAATCTAATGATTTCAATCTCTTAAAAAAAAAAAATAATTAGCAAACAAACGAGGCCTAATAGATGGGAAAGTGCAGTACTGTCAGATTAGGACCACGCATGAGGTGGTGAAGCCGCAGGAGGGCTTCACGTGTAAAATCCGGCTGGCGAGCGATTGTACTATATCTCTCGCTCTCCTGCTCAACGACGGCAGAATGCAAAGTAGTGCCACGTGACGAGCAAGTACCCGTCACGGTTCTTTAAAGCCGAACAAACTCGGGCCCGACCAACCTGGGTTTGCTTTTGACCACTACACATCTGGTTTGGTTAAGTCACCCTACATATATATTTAGAGAAATTATTCAATTGTTTAAAAAAAAAATTGATCCATCAAATTTGGCTTATCTAAATTGTTTGAATTGCGCAAGTCAAGCGATTTGTTGGATGATTGGTCGGATGATCAATGTCATTCTTGTCAACCAGTCTGTCAACTGGCATTTGCTCAGATGACCGATCAGACGATCGGTCGGATGACTGACATGTACAAATTCAAATAATTCAAATAAGTCCAATTTCAGCGAATGTAACTGTTAGCACCATAAATTTGAAATCTTTTGTCCAGAGGAGCATGAGCATGTGCAAAAGAGTGTTGAAAAAAAAAAGTTTTTTGGTGACTTTAATGTGAAATTAAAGTAGGTCCCAACCATTGGTTGAGGTGGGATTAAATAAGTTTAGATTATTTGTAACAAGGTCTTTACACCATAAAAAGAATAACAAAAAATCATTAAGAATTGAATGAAAAATTATCTCATAAAGTTGGCCTCATAAATGAGGTATTAGGAGTTGTGTATAGCTACCAATCCTACATTGATTATAAAAGAAAACTTTAATGGGTATTTAAACCTTAAGATTATGAGAAAGACATAAGCCCTTTGGGACATTCAAATTTTCTGAAGGAAGGGAGTTACAAGTGTTTCAATGATGGGCTTGGGCTAAGACTATGATCCAAGTTGGTTATGGCAAAATTGCCACACGCGTGCACGCCACCCGCCTGTCGAGACTGGGCCGGGTCCAGGTCGTGGATCTTGGGACTTGGGCTTAGGCTTGAGGTTTGAGGCTTACTAGAATGGATTAGGTTTGGGTTGGGCCGGATTGGTGGACCACCAACCTAAACTTTTTGAGCCAAGTCTGTTGTAGATATACATACTTGTGCATACAGAAAATATATTGCAGATATTTTTTTTCCCAGCAGTTTTGGACCATTACTCCTGCAGTTTTGTAAGAGTAATGACCATTAGTTGCCAGCCTTCACGGGCATTGGTTGCTAGCCTTTATGGCTGGAGGCTCCTCTCCTCTCTACCATTGTGTATAAAAGGAGACCTATCTTTCTTGGTTTGTTATAGATTTTTTGTTTCCAGAATATATTAGTCAACTTGCTTGTTCATATAATATATTCTTCTTGGGTTGAGAGAGTGCTTCCATTGTCGATTCGCTAGAAGGTGCGTCTACGTTAGCCAATCTAAATCGTATTATCTTGGGAGACAAAAGTCGACCCGACATACCTTCAGCACCCACGGTGAGGTGGCGAATTTGTTTTAAGGAGATTGTGATATCACATAGAATTTGGTTCGATTCCTTATTTTTAATATTTCGATTAAATATGTATTTCTGTTAATCATATTTCATGTTTCATGCTCTAGAATGTAAATTTCTCAAATATGGATTCATTTGATGTTCTTGTGGGGATGTGGTTTGGAAATACTTTTCAGGATCCCGGGGAACACTCGTGATCCTCTTCTAGTCACCTGAAAAAGAATAAACACTCCGGTCAAGGGTGCCGGAATTAGCACTCCGACGGGCAAGTTAGTATTTACACTTGAGAAAGCTTGTATTCTAAGTTAAGCACAGTAATTCTCACATACCGCTTTCTGGCTGATGTTTTTCCTATTTATATCTTTTCTTCTTTGGGCCTCGGGATTAGATCCCTTTTCCACCTTGTATTCGGCATATTTTATGACTGTTCGATCTTCACTCGGTCCCTTGCTCAATCGGTCATTTGGCCGAGTAGGGTTGGATTTGAGCTTTCGGGCCCATTGCCGAGTGCTTCGGAATATCGACTCTCCAGGTTTGATTATCCGGACTCTCTATGACTCCCAATAATCGGCCCCCACAATTGCCCCCCAAGCACTCCATTATCGACAGTTGGCTGGAGTGTTTGGCTTTGAACTCGAAGAGCCAGAGCCGAAATTCAACGGCTGACCATTTCCCAACGCAAATGTCTGTACACACACTTCTCGGTTATCATTCCAACTTCCCGCCTCTTCACACACTTCTATTTGTTGTGATTTAAAATTTCGACGTCTTTTCAAACGCATACACGCTTTTAGACACTCGTCACTGGACTGCTTCCATACTACCTCTACAACTTCCTACTCTGCTCTATCTCCTTCACCTCTTGTAAGTTCTTTCCTTCTCTGCTTTGTTTTTTTTTTTGACTTATCATAATCCTTTTGGCTGAGGGAAATGGCAAATCATTTAAAAGATCTCCTTTCATCGCATCGAATTTTTGGTTTCTGACGCCATTTTTCCATTCCTGATGACGTCCATCTATCATTCGTGACAGACGACCCCCTCGATATGGAGAGGGTTGACAAAACCACAATCGTTTTCTCTCTTCTATCAATCGCAGAGGGTGAGTTCCGCTTCCCCCTTCACCCACTCCTTAGGGTCGTGCTTTGCCACTGGGGGTTAATCCCTTCCCAACCCAACGTCAACTTTTTTAGGATCGTGATGGGGATTATCGCGCTAAACTGCCGCCTTAGGCTTAACCTTGGTATTCCCACTATTCGGCATTGCTACGCCTTAGCCAAGTCCTCTAGTCAGCACGGGCGTTATTTCCTTAGGGCCAAAGACACCGACCATCAACTAGTGACTATGCTTTCCAGCTCTAGGAAGCGAGTCGATGATGTTATGGTCATCGTCCGAGGAAACTGGGAATTCGGCGAAGGCGAGGATCGCCTTGATCGTATTCCTAGACGGAGGGGCGAACCAGGTGGCTGAGTGTTTGCTTTTATTTGTTTACTTGTTATATTTATAAAGCTTTATTTTCGGGACCTCACGGTTTTGCTTTTGCAGGAAACGATTTGAAGAAAGTGCTGACCTCGACCAACGACACCATCCTTTCAGAAATCAAGATCGCGCTCAAGTATTTCGGCCAACGGAGTCTTCAGAAGCAGAGGAGGGTGGCCCACGTTCTGCTCCGCTACGACCCGACTTATACAACCTTTTCGACGTCGGAAAATATCCAAATTCCGGAGGGTGAGGAGTTTCTTACCGCCCTTATCTTGACTGGTTTCAGAAGTTTGAGGCAAATCGGTTGCGAGGGATCAGATTCGGAGTGGCCAAAAGTAACTGACTCCGCTGAGTCAGACCAATCTGAAACTGAGGTTGACGAGGCTTTGAAGTTAGCATTTGAAGAAGCCGGCCTCAATTCGGCTGATCCTCCGTCCACTTCGGGTTGAGAAGACTGTGCGCTTGACGATATTTTTCACGGTTTGGAAGACCTTCCCGGCATATTTCCAGAATATATGGCCGAGTTGAGCCTAACTAAACTTGCCAAAAAGGCGAACGCGGGAAGGCTGGCTGCGCGGCGAAGGGCGGAAAAGATTCGGACTGCTGAATCTCAATCCCAGTCCTCCTTGCCTGTTATCAAAGGGACGGCAAAGAATGGAAGTGCCGAGGCGGAACCTTTTGTGCAGGCAAGTGTACAGGCTGAGCAATGGTTGGAGAGACGCCCTGCCGATGTCGATGCCGACTTAGAAAAAGACCGTGTCGACAAACGACCTCACTTGGATGAGTCGGATGTGATTGTGCCTTTTGTTATTCAGCCTAAGATAAAAAATACGCCGATCTCTTGCGATGCTTCAGTGATCAAAGATCCAGCGGTTGCACTCAGATTGGCGACGTCTGTTTCGCTACCTGCTGACAAGGCGGCTTTTCGGGAGGAGCCTGATCTGGTTACAATTGGGTTGGCCGCGCAATCGGCTCTTTTGGTATATATCTGGACTTTGTCTTTTCTCTTTACAAAAATATTATTTTGTTCTCAAATTCCTGTTTTGCAGGCCGTCGGAAGGATAGTCGACATGGGCCGTTGCTATCACGATGCCGTCGAGCTAATTGGCCATTTACAAGCGAAGGTTGAGGGCCAAAGGAGTAAGGCGCAGTCAGAGGGTGCCCGTGCCGAGGTCGAGACGAAGAGAGCCCGTAATGTCGAAGAATTGAGATCGGTCGCCAAGAAGAGGGCGGATGCAAGCGATGATGCGCTAAAGTTGGCCCAGGAGGCGATCTCTAAATTGGAAGCTGGGTTGGAAGAGATGAAGGCGGCGAAGGAAACAGCCGACCTGAAGGCTTCCAGCGCATTCGATGTTGGGAAAAAATCAGCTTTTGATGAATATATGGACGAAGTTCCCAAGTTTGAGAATCGGGGATTTAAACACGGCTGGCTCAAAGCCCTTGCTGTTGCTAATGTGTCATTGGCTATGCCAATTCCGTATAAGCAAGTGGATGTTGAGCCGCTGGAGTCTGACTCCGAGGGCTAGCTTGAGCGGCTCTTGTTTTTGTTTTAGAATTTGCCTGTAATTTTCAGCTTTTTACAGCCTTTTGTTTAGTAATTTTCATATGTAAAATGGTTACAATTTGTGCCCAATTTACTTAATGAAAATTCACCTTGTGCTTTGTTGTTACTAATGAATGGAATTGTTTGGTTGCTATTTTGGGTGAAATGTTTTGTATCCTTGCCGACTATCTAATTAGGCCGTTTAAGCAAGGCAAAAAGTAGTGCATAAAATGGCTGTGACACATATCAATCGGCATGGGGCCAAGATGCTCGGCCGGTTAGGTTAATAAATCTGCCCTTGCCCCAGCCAGTTCATGGACTTCAAGGCATTCGCCTATAATTGCCATTTAGGTAATTATTCCGTTTCAAAAGTCAAAAATCAGTAAATGAAGTGGCTGTGGCACACTTTAATCGGCATGGGGCCAAGATGCTCGGCCGGTTATATTAATAAATCTGCCCTTGCCCCAGCCAGTTTATGGACTTTAAGGCATTCGCCTATAATTGCCGTTTAGATAATTAGGCCATTTTATCAAGCCAAAATCAGTAAATGAAGTGGCTGTGGCACACTTTAATCGGCATGGGGCCAAAATACTCGGCCGGTTAGATTAATAAATCTGTCCTTGCCCCAGCCAGTGCATGGACTTCAAGGTATGTGCCTATAATTGCCGATTAGATAATTAGGTCATTTTATCAAGCCAAAATTAGTAAATGAAGTGGCTGTGGCACACTTTAATCGGCATGGGGCCAAGATGTTCGGTCGGTTAGATTAATAAATCTGCCCTTGCCCCAGCCAGTGCATGGACTTTAAGCACGGTTGGATCGCGGCTCTTCAGGCCGCGGAGGTTCTCCGAGCGTAGGGTATCGATTCCAGCTTATGTGGGCTGGATCATCGTGATCATTTGCCCTTTTCCGCTTTTGAAGTTAAAAAGAGCGATGACGAGGGCATCGTTGAATAAAAATATTCGCTGTAATGTGCAAACGCGGATCGCGCCAAGAATTATGTGATTATTGATTGGTTGAATAAATAAAAGAAAAGAATTTTATTTTTAATGTTTTGTTATAATTCTTGTTCGGCACACTCGTGCTTGCATATGATTCATTATACATGTTTGAATGAACGTATCTAAGATGAGTGAATGGACGTTGATTGACCTGTTTTAATCGAAATTGCGTTAAGCACGGCCTTGCAGCTTAGCCCAAAGACGTCATTCGCCTATGGGGCTTCGAATTCGGAGACTTCATTTGGCCGGTCGTGATATCCACGAAGGGCGCTCCGAATCCGGAGACTTTAATTGGCCTAAAGACGTCATTTGCCGATGGAGCTCCAAATCCGGAGACTTTATTTGGCCGGTTGTGATATCCACGAAGGGCGCTCTGAATCCGGACACTTTAATCAGCCCAAAGACATCATTCGTCGATGGGGCTCCGAATCCGAAGACTTTATTTGGCCGGTCATGATATCCACGAAGGGCGTTCTGAATTCGGAGACTTTAATCGGCCCAAAGAAGTCATACGCCGATGGGGCTCCGAATCCGGAGACTTTATTTGGCCGGTTGTGATATCCACAAAGGGCGCCCCGAATCCAGAGACTTTAATCGGCCCAAAGACATCATTCGCCGATGGGGCTCTAAATCCGGAGACTTTATTTGGCTGGTCGTGATATCCACGAAGGCCGCTTTAAATCTGGAGACTTTAATCAGCCCAAAGACGTCATTCGCCGATGGGGCTCCGAATCCGGAGACTTTAATCAGACCATGTTTGAACTAGATTCTGTAGTAGGTGAATGAGAATCTTTGTATTTACAGAAAAAGAGACGTACATGACGAATAGTTTAGAACAAGTATCATGTCCCATAAGTTGAGTTAATGATAAAATTTGCGTAAATGCGTGGAATTCCAAGGTCGTGGCAGACTCCTTCCCGACATGTCTCTAAGCCAATATGCCCTTACTCCAGCGACTAAATCGATCTGATAGGGGTCGTCCCAGTTAGGACCCAATTTTCCATTGGCCAGTTTTCTGTCAACTGGGAGTACCTTCTTCAGGACTAACTCTCCTGGTGTGTAGTGGCGAGGCTGAACACATTTATTGTACGACTTTGCCAGCTGCTGCTGGTACTGTGTCATCGACGCAAGGGCTCGATCTCTTCGTTCTTCGATTAGAATCAAATCCAAAGCCAGCATCATGTCGTTTCGGCCCGTATCAAAAACTTGCGACTTTAGTGTCGGGTGGCCGATTTCCAGGGGTAAAATTGCCTGGGTTCCAAAGCATAGGGCAAACGGCGTTTCTCCAGTTGATCTTCTTGGTGTAGTTCGATGAGCCCACAGCACGCTTGGTAATTCTTTGACCCATTTGCCTTTGGCTTTCTCTAGCCTTTTTTTAATGCCGTCCAAAATGGATTTATTAGAGGCCTCGGCTTGGCCATTGCTTTGGGGTAAGCCGGCGTAGGAAAGTAAGACTGAATACCATATTTGCTGCACAGCTTTCGGTATACGTCACAATCAAACTGGGTGCCGTTATCTGAGATAAGAGCTCTGGGAATGTCGAATCGTGTTATGATGTTCCTCCACACGAAGCGCTTAATGTCAGCATCTCGTATGTGAGTTAATGCCTCCGCTTCGACCCATTTCGTGAAGTAATCTGTTGCGACGATCAGGTATCGCTTGTTCCCTGGGGCCCTCGGCAATGGTCCTACGATATCAAGCCCCTACTGGGCGAACGGCCAAGGACTGGTGATAGAGTTCAACTCTTCAGCAGGCAGATGGTTTAACGGAGAGAATTTCTGGCACTGTTCGCACTTTTTTGCATAACACTCAGTGTCCACTCTCATTGTCGGCCAATAATACCCTTGCATTATAGCTCGGTGGGCCAAAGAGCGTCCACCAGAATGGGCACCACAACTACCTTTGTGTATCTCAGCCAGAAGCTCTCCGACTTTGTCCGGGTGCACACATTCCAAATATGGGCCAGAGAGTGAGTTTTTATAAAGCCTTCCTTGCGGGTTCAAGTAGTATCGCATGGCTTTATTTCGCAGCTTGTGTGCTTCTTTCTTGTCCTTTGGGAGTTGTTCAGAGGATAGGAACGCGACAATGGGGTCCATCCAGCTTTGTGCAGATTCTATAACGTTGATTTGGACTTCCTTCGAGGGGTCGATGCTTGGCTCTGGGATGAATCCAACTTCGATGGTCCGTTTAATCTCTGAGTTGATTGCGGAGGCTAGGCAGGCTAAGGCATCTGCGTGGGTGTTCTAATCACGTGTTATCTGATTCAACTCATGATGTTCAAATTTTGCCAACAAGGAATTAGCCATTTTCATATAGGCCGCCATATGGTCGTTTCTTGCTGCATATTTGCCTTTTAGCTGATTGATCACCAATTTTGAGTCACAAAACACTAACAGACGCCGAGCACCCAGGATATGCGCATTCCTCAAACCAGCTAAGAGGGCTTCGTATTCGGCTTCGTTATTCGATGCTTCAAAGCTGAGCTTCACAGCCTGCTCAATTATTGCGCCGTCTGGGGTCATGATTACAACTCCAGCTCCACTGCCCCGCTGATTGGACGATCCATCACAATACAACTGCCACATGTCCCCAACATAAATCCTCCAGTCCGGGTTCGGTCGAATCTCATCCGTCTTAAAGTCGACGACATTAGACTTGAAATCAGCAAGGCCCCCAGTGAATTCGATGATAAAGTCAGCAAGCACTTGCCCTTTGATTGAGGTTCTAGGTAGAAATTGAATATCGTATTGGCCAAGTTCCGGAGCCCACTTTGAAACACGTCCGGATGCTTCCGCACTGCGTAGGATTGATCGGAGGGGGTGATCTGTTAGTACCCCAATGCTATGCCCCTGGAAGTAATGCATGAGCTTCCTTGCCGCCATAACTAGGGCTAGGATGAGCTTTTCCAGCGGAATGTAACGTGTTTCGGCGTCAACCATTGCCTTGCTCACATAATACACTGGTCACTGCTCCTCCAGCTCTTCCTTTATCAATACGGCACTGACGGCTCGGTCAGAAACTGCCAGGTACAGAATGAGCGGGTCGCCAGCAGAGGGTGTTGTCAGGAGTGGTACTGAGCAGAGGTAGGTCTTCAGGCCGTTGAAAGCGACTTCGCAATCGGCAGACCATTCAAAGGCCTTGCCCTGCCGTAGTGTATGAAAGAATTGTCGGCAGTGATCTGTGGACCGACTGATAAACCTGTTCAGTGCGGCAGCCATCCCCATCAACTTTTGGACCTCCTTTACTGAACAAGGGGAGCTGAGCTCTAGGATTGCTGTGATTTGCCTTGGGTTGGCTTCGATTCCTCTGTGGTTAACAATATAGCCCAAGAATTTGCTAGAACTGATACCAAACGCACATTTGGAAGTGTTCAACTTCATTCGTAGGATGCCGAATGTCTCTTCCAGATTGGCTATATGATTCTGCTCTTCTTTGGACTTGACCACCATATCGTCGATATACACTTCCATCATTTTGGCGAGTTTCTCTTTGAACATGGTGGTGACCAGTCTCTGGTAGGTTGCCCCTACATTCTTCAACCCAAAAGGCATTACCTTATAGAAATAGGTTCCTCTTGAGGTGAGGAATGCAGTTTTCTCTTGGTTCTCTGGATGCATTGCGATTTGATAATAACCTCTATAGGTGTCAAGGAAACTCATATGCTGATGACGCGCTGTAGCATCTACGAGCTGGTCTATTCTGGGAAGAGGAAAACAATCCTTTGGGCAGGCTTTGTTTAGGTCCGTGAAGTCGACGCACACTCGCCAAGTCCCATTTTTCTTCTTTACCACCACTGTATTAGAGAGCCATGTAGGGTAGGTCACCTCCCTAATTGCTCTGGCATCGAGCAGTCTG